CTTAATCTCCACAGGTTTCTGAACACATTGCTGCATAACTAAAGACAAGTCTGATAAGAGTATTTAGGTATAGTGATGTAACTAAAGCTACCAAGATCAGAATGGTGCAAATAATGGTATTCCAAGTGACAAAGTATGGGAGCAAAATTGAAATTCAAAAAAGCAGCATCAGAAGACTACTGGCCCATGAACTTTGGTGTTGGAGAAGTTGCCTGACAATACCATGAACAGGCAAGAATAGCAAACAAATGAATAATCAAACAAAACAACCTAAATTGACCCCTAAAAGTTGACACAACTTGGCATATAATCAAGGATAGATCAATTTCAGAATTGTTTATCTAAGACCCAGTGAAATAAATATACTTTAAGCATGAGGACTGGTTGTAAGTCACTTTTTTCAGTTCCATTGCAGTGCCATTGTAATTTTCAATGGTCATTAAATGAATGGTTGTAAATTGAGGAGTACCTGTACAAGAATATTTAGAAAGTTCAGAGTAGATACAACCGCCTCCCCCAAAATACTATACTACTATATATAGAGAAATATACAGTATTTTTTGGAGTATAAGATGCACCAGACTATAAGACGCACCTTGGTTTAGAAGGAGGAAAATAAGAAAAAAATATTTTGCTACCATGCATCCCGGTTTTGCCCTCCCTGGTGTCCAGAGGCACTCTGCAAGCCAAAAACACACCTGTTTTTGGCCTCTGGAGGCCTCCGTGCTTCCCATTTTTGCCCCCACACAAACACACACCAGTATTTCTTTCTTTTGGGAGAATTCCAACAAATATATACTTCCCCTTTAAATATATTCAACATTAACAACTTCTTATTGTCTCTTAAACTAAAAAGAGTACTTCTTCATTCCATACCTCACCTCATTTTCTATACGCCCATCTCTAAATCTGTGCTGCGCAAAGCAGCTGTGCTTCGCAAAGCAGCTGTGCTTCAAAAACAGAGGATAAAGGTGAGTATGGGAGCCTGGGTGGATGGGTGAGCCCAACAGCAGAGCAGCAGAGAGAACTGGTTTGATCTCCACTGCTCACTGCTGCTGCTACCGGCTCAGCAGAACCGGGCCGAACTGGTAGAATACTACCACTGCACTGCAGGGGTACTCCAAGTTTGCATTCAACCTAAGAAAACTTCAGATACATAATAAATAAATTCCTAAGCAGAACGTTCAGATAGCATGAAATTTCAATTTAGGACTAACAAAATTACATAATATTACATTTTACTTGTTTGTTTTTTGTATTAGGACAAAAAATATTCCCTGCCCTTGGACCTCAGGTATGACATATTTAGCATGAATGTAACATTTAAAAGAAATTGATGTCATATTCAAAAGTATATTTGCGTATTGGATGTTATACGTTGAAACACTGAGCCATTTGGGAGTAGGTTAACAATGTTTGGATACTGGGGTCCTTTGAGCAAATTTTCTTCTTACAATTATTAGGGTAAAATTGTCAATACTTCAACAGAAGAGAAATTGGCTTTTATGTTTGACAGTTTGTCCTGCTTGCCCTCATCAAAAGTATAGTTTATATAGTCTGCTTCTCTTTGCCCTACCAGCTTGGTCCATTGTTTTGTTTCATCTTAGATTGTTCCTCATTAAGCATTAATGTTCCACTGGTAGTAAATTATTCCAGTAGTGATTGCTAAAATAGAGAAAACATTCCTTAAAATTGTTGGAAATGTAATAATCAGGTCAGCTCATTTTTCTTTAATGAATGGCAATATTTTAAAGCCCAATGGTTTAAAAAAAATTTTTTTATAAAAGAACGAAACACATTTTAAATGCTACATATTTTATAAAGCATACCAAGCTGGCTTTGTATAAGCTGACAGCTGCTAAGGTACTTCGTGCTTTTCACTAGTAATTAAATATAACCAGTTCTGTAAAATATGGTAAATTATATGGTGGGAATGCTCAATGTCAAAAATAACCTTGTGTTTTAAAAATAAATTGGATAAAGAATTCATTGTGACTTGGAAAGTAGTTCTGAATTATAATTCCACATGTGGATTTGTATTGCATCCCAAATTCTGTCTTATTTTTTCCTATGCTTTTAACAGTATATTTCTTTCTGATTTGTGAAGTATAGATTTTTGATTAGGAAAAAATGATTACAATCTTTCATTTTGCTTATAGTTTAGACAATATGATTATTGCATATTATTTTGATGACTCAAGTTTTAAATCGACATTATATATATTTCAGTATATAGAATAAAATGTGTTGCTTTGACATTTTATTTAATCTTTCTAGATCTCTTTCTTAAATATTTTTTTGCTTTTCCTGTTTTTCTGTTTGTTCTTGATTATGTTTTAAAATATTTAATAAATTTTTTAAAAGAAATAATAAAATCTCTTCAGAAACTAGCTGACATATCTATATTTTTATATTCTAAACCTTAACTCAGTTTTCATTTAGTATTTTTCTCTGCTTTAGGCATTATCACCTACTGAAAAAAGGTTTGTATAATGGAAAGAAAATATTGGGGTATTGCAAATAATGTAAATAGATGAAATAGTAGGTGATCAAATCTCTACTTCCTCAAACTTCCCTGTTTCTGGAAAAGACTTGGGGAGATATTCACTGGAAGCCTTATATTTATGTTTACTCCTATTGAAAAATGAATTAAAAGAATTGGCATGACAAGAATTGGGGAAAGCACTATTCATTCATTCATTCATTCAACATGTATTTATTTAGCTATTTTTATGGCCACTCATCTTAACCAATATAACTCAGAGTTGCAAGCAAAGACATAAACACATAATGAAAAATCAGAAGTCAGATTTAAAAGTTAGTTGAGGTATCCTAAAAAAAATATGTAGCACATAAAAGCAAACACATACCAGCTCCACTACCATTCTGTTTCCACAAATGGGAGGAGCTAGATTTTCATGGCCTTCCAGAAGATCAGCAGGTTAGGACCATCTTATTTTCAATGGGGGAATTTGTTTCACAAGGCAAGTGCCATAACAGAGAAGGGGTCCTGGATCCTGCCAGATAACATTGCTTCACAGTAAGGAATCTGAGCATTCTGACCCTGTCAGATCCTAGTATAAAAGACAAATATACAGACAGAGGCAGTCTTGCAAGTAACCTGGTTCCATGCCATGTAGGGCTTTAAGTGACAACCAGCATCAGAATTGCACCCAGAAGCCTACTGAGAATCAATGCAGATCTCATAGGGGTGATATTACCTGGGTACACTATGGTATGCCAAAACTTCCTATTCTGTCACATTGTGGATTAGCTGAAGCTTCTGAAAGCTCTTCCGTGGTAGCCCCAGGTAGTTGACATTGCAGTAGTCTTGCACGTACAGGACTAATGCATGAGTAACTGAACAGTCCATTCTAGTCTAGGAACAGACACAAGTAATACACATTGATTTATACAAAAAAACATCCAGGCCATGGCTGTTCCCTACTGTTCAAGAGTCATGGGTCTCGGAAGACCTTCAGATTACTACAGCCACAGTTAATGATGGAAGGTCTCCAGATATCAGAGGAGTGGCGGGGTGGGGGAAACTAAAATTCATAACCTCTCAGGCTTGTTAGGTTTCAGTCAAGCCTATAAAGGATCACACAATCTTAAAGCATAGGGAAAGGCCTTCCAAGGCATCACTTGGATTGTCCAGGTGCAGATGTAACTTGCTATAATCAACCTGTTGATGATGCTTAGCCTGGTGCTTCCAGATTACATTTACCAGTGATTGCTTTAAACAGGAGTAGAGAGAAGGTTGAATCCTGCCACATCACACAGAGAAAAAGGCAAGAGCTAGGCCTGCCTCCCCCCACACACAGACCAAGTTGTATATCATCAATCTTATTGGATTTCCAGTGATTATCATGTCAAGTTAATAAAGTTATTACAGGTTTGATTTTAGTGCCTCAGTGTGGTGGTTCGGGGTCTGCTCCCCCACCCAGTGGCCTCTGTTTGAAATGATTTTGTCACTTATGTTGCATTTTGAGTTTATAGTTATTCTACTATAAATGCAATTTTCTTGGTATTTTATACTATATTAAAGTTATTGGCCTGGAAATGTATTAATGGCAGTCATTTCTTGGCATTTTTGACATACTCTTTGTGAAGCTTTGAAAACTTTGAAGCTTTGATGTTAAATAAAACACATATTTTATGGTAGATATTATTAATATTACGATAATCCAGAATTACTTGCAGACTGATGAAATCACGCTGTTGAATACAGGTAATCCCTGAATTATGAACGTTCCCTCAGCAAACATTTGAAGTTACATGATCAACACCCCCTAGCGTTTCTGAACAAGGCCCGAAATTATGAATCTTGCAGCACCATGACAATTGTTCGCCCTAACAAACAACTGCAGATGCTCTGTAACATTCATCCTGCACATTGCTGGCTGAAATGAAGCTTCTGAGGGGCTGGATCCTTCTCTCAGAAGCCCCATTTGGCCATCAAGAGGCCTTGCTTGGCAACTTGCCAGCCAAAATGGAGCTTCTATGGGGAAGATCCAGCCCCCCAGAAGCCCCATTCGGCCTGCAACGGGCCAGGTGAGACCTCTGGACAGTTTCATGAGGCTTCTAAGGGGAGGATCCAGCCCCCAGAAGCTCCATTTCAGCCTGCAACAGGCCAGGGGAGGCCTGTGGTGGGGCTGAGCAGAACCTCAAGAGGGCTGAATCCAGCCCCTGGAGGTTCCATTTTGGCCTTCAATGGGCCAGGCAAGACATCTGGATGACCGAACAGGGCTTCTGAGTGGAGGATCCAGCCCCTGGAGGCTCCATTTCGGCCTGCAATGGGCTGGGGGAGGCTCGTAGAGGGACAAACAGGCTGCTTTCTAGATCTTCACAAGGTAAGTGACCTGGTGTGGCTGGTTGGGGCGGGGGGAGCAATTTGGGCCGGTATGAGGTATTTCAGTGGGTCGGGAAGGCCTTGGGTGATCTTAGGCAGGTGGCTTATTTCATCCAACTGTTCACAATTATTTTTTCTTTGTAGGCCATTTTCAAGAAAGAAAACAGAACAATGCAGTGAAGGCTATAAATCCACTAATGAAAAAGATATAAGGTACCCTTGTTATAAAACATATAAAGTACCAATAATAACAATCACTGTTATTAATAATTGAATTTTCTTTTCTAGGGTATGTTCAGTATGATTTACACTAAATCATATAATATATTAAAGAATGAACTCACAACCTAATAGAAACTAATCAAGCTAATAATAACTATAATAGCTGTAAATATAAGCTGCCAATGTCATATCCAATATTTCCTCTAATTTTTGACATGCTGTGTGTGTCAAATAATTGTACAAGTATAAAAGGAACCTATCCCAAGAGCACCTATTAAACTAGAGCTTAAGTTAAGCCAAAGCTTTCCAAAATAGCAAGCTTGTCCAGGATTCGTTGTGAGCCTGGAGTTTTATAACAGGAAAAACTGTTATTTTGGGAGAATTTAATACTGTGTATCCTCAATTTTTTACTGAGTTTTTGTGGGTTAGATGGGGAATATGTGTATGCACACTTTCAAACCTCATATGTCCTTTACCGCAGTGTAGCAATAATGAGTTGTGTACAAATGTTGGGGAAGAAAAACGCTATTGATAGTCATGACCTCCAAAATGTATACTCATTACAGGACTCTTATTATTGAAGGTATAGTTTAAGACCTTTTTGTAAAATGACAGTGGAAGTAAATTTTTAAAAAAGGTCTAATTCCTAGTATTGATTACTAAAAGGTTTGCTTTTAGTAGCAAAGCTCATAATAAATCTTGATAGCCCATTTGCAGGATCAGAAATCTTGAATTGATAGCCTAGAAACACAGATAAAATTCTGAGCTATTTATATCATGCCTTTTGTTTAGAGTGGTGTTCTTGAGGAAAGAAAATGAAGCAATTCAGCAAAAGGAAGAACAAAGTTTGACACCAGAATTTGAAAAAAGATCATTTTCTCACAGATATTGTTTCACACCCAACAACTCTCTGCAATGTAAGGTTGATTATTTAATTAGCATAACAGGGTTAAAGGGTTAGTCTGGGAATCCAAAAAACATTCTGGAAAAAGATGAGAAGGCAGATCTTTTCCACTTCATTGCCAATCGAATTGCATGATGTGTTTAGGTCATCAGCATTGAGCTCAAGTAAAAAGATAGTTTACGTTTAAATGTAAAATTGCACCAAAAGGAATGACTCCTCCCTTTTTCCTAATGTTGACTCAGTAGCATTATTTTCTTAGTAAAACTATTTATAATGATCAGTATGAGTTTAGGGTATAATCAACAGAAATTGGAAAGTGAAATTATGAATTAAATTGAGATGATGCTAAATGATGAACAACACCAACAAAATTTTAATTGAATGGACTAATATATTGTTTTCTTAATTTGTCGTGTTGCTCAGTGCTAGGCCACACAAAAACAATCAAAATTAGAAGTTATGACTCATTAAGTGTCAGCATGCCCTTAACCTTAATTTATTTGCAGATGGCTTCTGCTCTAAATGACAACTAGGTTGACCAGATGGTTTACATGAGGCATGCAATTCAAAGCATTTCTTCCATTCTACGTAATTACTGGCCACTTAAAGCCCAGTATACACCCTTTCCGTACCAGCACAACAGATGACATCAATAGAATATATTTTCCAACTAAAATAAACACTTCTTCCCTGGTATAATTTTAGTTATGCCACAATATACCACAAAAGAGCTGTCCATGTTATTTCATTGATATCATTTAGATTTTTAAATATATGTATGACTTAAACCTCTGAAGTAGATTCCTTATGTTAACTGAGTAAAATTTTTTATAAGTTTAGGCTATAAATTAATATATCCCATTTTCAGCCTCCGCATGCCCCATTTTCAGCCCGTTTCAAGCGGCAGGGTTCAAAAGGGGCCAAAAATGGGAGGCCCGGAGGCTGAAAATGGTGCACGTGGAGGCCGAAAACAGGATCCAGAGGGCGAAAATGGGGCGTGTGGAGGTGGCAATAGGTGATGGCGATCCCTGCAGCCAGAATAGCTGATCGTCAGGAGGCTGATCCAACCGACAACCCGCTGCTTGTGCTAATCAGGCTGTGCTGAAGCTGACCAGGCTCTTTGCTGTTTGCTACAAGCAGGCAAATTGCTGGAAGGCAGAGGCCGAAGGGTGGGGGCAGGTGGGTGGGTGGGGCTTCAGCAACATACTCTGTATAAGATGCACAGACATTTCCACCCACTTTGGGGGGGGGGGAGTGTGTCTTATGTACTGAAAAATATGGTAGTTTGTACTTGTTAGAAATCATTTATAAAATTAGTTATGTGCTTTTTATTAAAAAAAAATGTTTCTATAAATTGGAAAACATAATGAAACAAAAACCATGGAACTATATAAAATTCCTTAAATAAATATTTTTAAAACATCACAAAGGGCTTTGCATGCATTTCCTGAGGCATTTGCTGGCATTTACTTGGAAGAACATCACTTTTCTATAAAGATAGATATTCATGACATAGATACTAAGACTTATAACCCTCTGGATAACTTTCACTTGGGATATGGAATCAATCCCACAGTGATCATAATTGACTTCTAGCAAGACCAAGACAAGGGAAGTGCAACCCTCTTGGTCTTGTCTGATCTTTCACAGCCTTCCATAACATTAATCATAATTATGTTCTAGATTCACTGCAAGTATTGAGAGTGGAAGGCGTTTTTCAGTGCTTTCCCTCCTCCTTGAATGTGTCATTCCAGTCTGTAGTGATGGGGGGAAAGAAGTTCAAGGATCATGGTCCTTTATTCTAGGGTTCTACAATGTTGGACAGTCTCTCTCTTCCTATTTAACATGGACACGAAGCCATAGAATGAAGTAATCAATTGCTACACAATCAGATATATCATAAGTATACAGTGTATGAGTGTAAACAGTTCTGTGTCTCAATTGCTGGCCAAACAGGAGATGTGGTTTGGATGCTTTCTTGATATCTGAGACAATTGGGTCTAGATAGGGATGACTAGGTTCAGTGCTATTAAGATAAAATGATTCTGAGTGCAAAAGGAGTTTGGTCTAGTGGTTATGGCAGTTGGCATGAAGAGCCAGCTGAATGACTTTTGGTCATTCACTCTCTCTCAGCCCAGTTTACTTTACAACGTTGTTGTTGAGGGGAAAATAGGAGGAGAAAGGAGTATTGAGTATGTTTGCCACATTGAGATATTTATAAAAAATAATAAAGATGGGATAAAAATATCTCTTTAAAAAGGCTTATGATCCCCCAGAAATCCCATCTTTAATTCTGGATGGATCAAACTACTATATTTTATAGGAGCAGCCTATCAGCTCATTAAATAATTATACAATTTTAAAAATTCCTGCCTCAAAGCTATATGACACATTCTAAATATGCTATGCTAGGGTGACTTTCCAGTCTTGAATACAACAGAGAATAAATAATAAATGCATTTATTCATTTTCATCCACATATTGCACAAATCAATGAAACTATTTCCCAATATCAAATGTACAAAAATCAGCAATTTAATACATCAATTATTCAATAATAATAGTTAATAAAAGCAGTATATTATTAAGAATCACTTATGCAAAGAAAAAATGCTGAATATGTTTGAGCCTGATAGCAAAAAGACAGTTCTTCTCACAAGACAATATGCCATAACAAAGTTTTTATGATCAAAGTAACTAAATATAAGCACTCTTAACTTAAATTGCAATCTTATTCTTCCTTATCTTTCAGTGGGAACAATTCCCATTGAATTCACGCTTAGTTGTGAGTAGGTAAGCATAAGGCAGCTCTGTTATATCAATGTATTTAGCTTGATCTCAGAAATTATGCTTTAGAATGTCTGTGAATATATAGTAAAACAACCTTATAACTGAGGGAAACCATCACTGAGAAAGTTTATTGACCATAAGGTCAATTTAAAAACAAGAATGTAAATTTAACAAATTATATATTACAACATTCCTAAACATTTATACCACTTTCTCTTTATTCCTGGTTGCCTAGATCAAACTTTAGAATATCCCAACATTGTATCTGAATCATTTTTTGCTATGATGAAGCCTTTCAAACAATATCAAAGACACCCATATACTGTGATGGAAGAAACTACCATTAACCTTCCTAGGGACTTCCCTTACAGGTAAATCAATAAATTATTTTTAAAATGTCAATTTGTTTATTAAATGAATTCCTTTTAGTATAGTTTAAAATATCTTGCTTTTATTCATATTAAGATTTAATCCATCTGAAAGTAAGTGCAGTTATTCCATGCATAGTCCAGCATTCAATTTTTAAATTTTATTCTGCCTTTTCATCCTTTCCTTTTTGGGGGTAAATTTGTCTTTGAATAAATTTCCAGTATTGAGGGGATATCTATCCTACTTTAACATCTGTAGGGGATACTGTATCATTTCCTGTCCAGCTAGATAACATAGAAATCCTCTAGAATTCCCCAAGAAAAATACTTAAAGAGAAAAGGGGTTCTGTTTGAAAAGGAATTATTTTAATAAACTTCTCTTACAGTGAAACTCAAGGGGTTTGGGGGGAGGGGGTGTGATCTTTATAAATAATTTTGCTCTGTATTATTTTATTAATATCTTTTTATATCCTTGGCTCTGATAAATATGAGCACACTTCAATCATATTTTTATTATCAATTCCTATTTATGCTATTTTCTGTAGTACTACACTGTTTGAAATGCTTATTTAATTTTTTTAATGTTTTTCTTTGGGAAGCTAGAAAAGAATCTAAGAACCATGCTCACTGTGTGAAGTTTTAAAATCCTTAAACAGTTCTGAAGCCTGTCAAATTGGTAATTCTATGTTTGTATATATACTTACCCAGAAACTGATGGCAACAGAGATACTTCCCACCACAAACAAGCACGTTCTCTCTGGTAATATGAGTGTTCCTGAGAGCAGGAAATCTCTCCTGAGACTTAGCAAAGTAGGCTTTACAATTCTAGCTCAAAGAACATTTTTAACAAGGAAAAACATTATAAAGATAGACAAAGCCTAGCACTTATTTAATTGCATCTTAGCATGTAGAGAATCCCAAGGTACATGCTCTGTGTGTGTGTGTGTGTGCCTGAGAAGGAAAACAAAAGGAAATGACCTGAAATTAGCAAAAAGCAAGCAGAGAAACAAAGAAGGACACAGAATAAATCTCTATTGATATCCCTCTTTGTACCCAGTAACTTACAAGATGCCAAAGGATCAATGCCATGGTATTCACATTTCCAACACTTTCACTTTAACCAACTTTTGGGTTTTTTTGAAAAATGTGGAAAAAGTTTGTAAATACATGATAATTGTAAAGGGAAGGTGATGGTATCTGGTTCTCTAATAAATTAGAAACAAAGTATGGCAACTAGTAAGCCTTCTTTGGAATGTCTGAGAATATCCTACAGAAGACAAAATGCATGTTGGAAGCCTCAACCTAATGTCTCTTTGAAAGTATGTCCCTATGGAAGAGGACACAGGAATGCAAAATATTCAGACACTAGGACTGTATTAAATTGATATGCATTTTTGTCCTTAAATAATATATGTTTAATTCAATGTAATCTGTTACATGTATAGGCTGGCCTGGGGGACACCAACTTCTCAAGATCTGAAGATAAAACTTTATCATCCTAAACTGAAATTGAGAAAAGAACAAGGAGCAAGCAAAGTGGTTCAAGAAAAAACGCTGCAACCAACCAGATCAATTCCAGACAAAGGGTATATTTGGCAGATAACAGTCACTATGATGCCAACACTCCTTTGTTAGCAACAGTGTTGATTGTGTCAGCATTACATTGTCATGTAAAGACAAAGAGAGCAAAATTTTCAGTGTGGTTTTTCAATATACTTTCAAGGTTTCATAGATTTTTAAGTAAAAGGGGAAATATTTATGAAACTGCCCAGTTTTAGAATGCTGTTTTAAGACTGCTACTAAAATCTGAACATTTTAAAGCAAAACTGAGCAGATCTCTGTCCGTGTTTATTACATTTTCCCCACACTAATCAGTTTTTTGTTTTGTTTTGATACAGCCAAAAGGGCAGAGTTGGCTCTTTATAATGGTAGACTTATTGCCTTGATAAAAATGCCAGACCTGGTGCTAGTTTCACAGAGCCAGCAAATAACAGGATGTAGAGATCTCTGGGCAATCTTTTGATTTCACAGATGTATCAATGGCTCCAGAGTAAAAAAAAAGAATCATAATAAATTTTATCCTTCTGTATAATATGCAAGGTTTACCAGTAGTATAATGTGGCATATTTCCATGGATGTGCAGTATTTTCATAGCTGCCATCACTAATGTAATAAAGAGATAAACCTTTTTTTAAAAAAAAAAATCTCCATATTCACTAGTTTTGCAAATTTACTGTTTCTTCTATTGGAAAATTGAACATGGCAACAATAAAAATATGAAAACGAACAGAAGGAAAAACAAACATTGAAATGGAATTGAATTGGCAAGTGTATCCTTGTAAAATAAATATATCATAAATCCCAAACTTCTATCCTTTAAAAAGTTATTTCTGAGAGGATGCCAAAATAGTGATTCTTAAAAGAAAATAAAGACCATGCTTTATGGTCCATGAGCAGTCTGAAATCAAAATGCAAAGACCTGTGTAGGTCTTGTTCCTGAAGAACAGACTGTCAGCAGTAAAACAATGAGGCATTTCATTGCTGCCTGGTTTTTACTTCTACTTCTTCTGTAATGCTAAGGGAGCATAAATCAACATGAAATTACATGAGAATGAAAAGCAACATTTATCTCAGGAGCAAAAGAAGCACAAGTTTTGTTGTCTTACATTTAAAAAAAGACCCAGCTCAAAACTTCCAATTGGTGAAGAAGTAACCCAACAATTTTGATATATTTTTACATCCAGCTACTGTAATGATTCCATTTCATTGAATGTAGCAAAAAATTGTTAAACTGTCTATAAATGTGAAACACTTGATCATCCTTTTGATGTTTGTAATTTTACTTGAAACAGAAATTGTTTACTTTGTTTATGGAGATCCGGGTCATGGTTGCCCCAAAGGTGCCTTTTTTCAAGAGGCAATTGGACTTTCTGGTTTTTATTTGAAGACATTTCACTTCTCATTCAAGAAACTTCTTTAGCTCTGTTTACTTTGTTAACTTTTGAAGTTCTAGTCAGTTTACTATCGTTAAGAACTATTTTTTCCTTAATTAAGGCCACATTTGGCCACAAATCCATGGTGGGGACTTTATTGTAAAAAAATATTGAATGTTTAATTAATATTTCAATATAGTTAATATGGCTAATAATTTTCTTTCTTCCATTCTTCAGGAGATACATCTTAGTGAATGATCCAAATTCAGCACCTTCAGTTCCCCCTATGAGTTTACTGGAAAGCAGATTGCTCAGTGCCCGTTTTCCTGTACAGAAAGAAAAGATTCTTCGTTCTCTCTTCTGAGATGCGGGAAGCCAAGTAGTCTTATCCATTTCTTTCACCAGCTTTGTTGTAGAGAATAAGCCATTTTCAACATCTTTACTACTTGCATACCTTCACTAGATAGTAATAGATAGGTAAAAGCACATTCTTCCTCTCTTTCCTCCCCAAACCAATGTAATAGCTCATTCTCACTTTATAGTATTTGAACAAATTAACCTGGTTTGATTAGCCATGCAATAACACCAACATCTGAGCTTCCACATTTCATTGTGTAATGTGAATTATTTTTATGATGTACTTTTTGCAACTTTTAATCTATTCTTACATGAATATTGTCAATGAAGTAGTTTTTGAGAGAGTAACAGCAGAGCAAAATATTCAGAGGTGGGTTTTTTGTTCTTTTTCCAATATGGTATGTATTTTACTTCCTTGTACCTGCAAAGACAGGGCTAACTCTCTATGCTGTTTCTGTAGCCACATCAACCTGGTTTTGGTAAACTGGCGATCTGTTCATTCATGGTCCAATCCATCTTGAGGATTAATTAGTAGCTAAGTTAATTAGTTCCAGTTACTACTAAGTGAGATGTAGGTTTAGGTTTAGTCAATACTGAAAGGGGAGTCACTTTGAAATTAAGACAGCTCACAAACTGCTGAAGCTTGCATATACAGATTTCTTGCCCTATTATCAATGCATTGGAACCCATGTCCTTAAAATGTCTATTTATACTAATTTAATTCAAGAGATGTGAGCTGGTAGTAAACCTTAAGATCTTTAATTAAAATATTTGGTATAAAGGCAAAGATAATGTAATTTTGCTAAACCAATAAATGATTAATTTAAAACTGCTCTGGCCAACATTTCCCTTTTCCTTGTGTAAGATTTTGTCTTTTAGTTGCTTTCTAAACTCCAATTTGAGAATGAAATCACTACCATAAAGGTGGTTGGCTTCCTTTTCCTAAAAAGATTCAACTTTCATACCTGCTGTGAAAGTTTTGATTGGGATCCTTGCAATAAGCAAAAGATTGAACTGAGTTGTCCAAACCATGCCTCTCAATGCCACAATTCTACATTTTAAGAGTTCTTTGGGAATGATCTGAAACTCATTCTCCACCCCCGCCCCAAATATTTGATGGTATACCCAGGGAATCCTCAACTTGCAACCTTTTGTTTAGTGACTGCTCAAAGTTACAACTTTGAATTTTGACCATTTTTCACACTTACAACCATTGCAGCACCTCCATGATCACATGATCAAAACTCACACACTTGGCAACTGGCATGTATTTATGACGTCTGCAGTGTCCCAGGATCACATGACCATCTTTTGCAACCTTCTGATAAGCAAAATCCATGGGGAAACCGGATTCCCTTCACAACCATTATTACTAACTTAACAATGACAGTGATTCACTTAAGAATTTGTGAGAAAGATTGTAAAATGGGGCAAAACAGACTTAAAAACTGTCTCGCTTAGCAAAGGAAATTTGGGGCTCAATTGTGATTGTAAGTCAAGGTCTACCTGTAGTAATTACTTTTCCCAGTTTATATTATTAATACTGTTTTGCATTTTTTAAATACACAAATAATTTGACAAACAGTTGTTTCTGTTTAAAATGAGGATTAATTCCCTCAAATCGTTTAACCAGAGTCACATATAAAGGGAAATGGTTAGTGCAATCAAATATATTTATACTCAGAAGCAATGAAGAACGATCAGATAGATACAAGGGTGTCAAACTGGCAGCCCACGGGTCAGATGCATCACGCACAGGCCACATCCACCCCAGCTCCATGAAGGGAAAAAACGATACAACACATGACAATATGACATGGCGAGTTTGATACCCCTGAGATAGAACAAGCACTAATATTAAAAACCTTATATTTATGGTATATTCATACATCATTTACCTTACAATTTATTTTGCACAAAATGTCAGAGACAGGGAGAAGCATGCCTGACTTTGAGAAAATAATTTAAGCTTCCCCTTCCATCTGTTGAATGGACATGGTATATTAAGCACCCAGAGAGAGTAAAAGAGGAGAAAGGGGAAATTGCATTTACCACACATGGAAGACAATGGCAGAAGGAAACAAGGTGATTAAACTGCTTGTAAAAATGGTGAAAGTTAAAGAGGAAATCAACAAAATCAGGTTAGAATTCAGAGAAAGGAGAAGTCACTTCTTTGTTCACTGATAATTGAATCAATGTGTTGCATCAAGTCTTCTACAGCAGGGATTGGCAAATTCCCAGCAATGTGATTAATAGAAGCAGCATGGGTATCTCGTTTAACTCAGTAAGCGACGGAATCAGAAGAAACAGCATTTACAGAGCCTTTGAACCCAACTCATCATCTCCTTTTCCTAGCTATTTTTCTGTTATTTCTTTCAGTTGTTTTTTTGGTTTTTATTACTGCCGGATTGCATTTATTAAAATATTTGCTTTTTTGTTTTGCTTCTTTATTTTGTTTTAATCTTTGATTTAATGGGTATATATTTTTAGTTATCCTTGTAACCAACAATGAAATGGGTATTAGGTCCAAGATTTAAATACACCAAAATACACAAATATTATGGGTTTTCAAGGGCTTTGAGGTTTCAAAAATAACCGTTCGCATCTTTGAATGAAAATAAAGAGAGAATTTGCTTGATAGCACAGGAAGAAGAATGTAAATGGGATTACCATGAGTGCATTTACTTCAGAGAGATGCTTTGAGAGCTGAATGTCATGAAAAAAAAATAATGCTAAAGTAAAGCCATTGAAATAAAAGGGTCAAGGTCTTTTTTCTTTTCTTTTCAAATATCTTAAATAAAGGTTTTGAAGGCTACCGAAGCCATAGCTTTTCATTCAAACCAGGGAATTTTGTTTCTCAGGTTTATGTAGTCTGCTTTTGTAGTCAGATTTTCTCCACTGAGGAGTCAAAACTAAAAATATACTGCATATGTCTGTGCATGCACAAAAACATCTTAGAATGTTATTCATGGTCTACAACATGCATCTGTAAAACCTCACCATTTCACACAGAAATAAACTTTCATTGGTATTCCAGTCCTTTTGCAAAATTAAAAGTTTAGTGTAGAAGTTTAGGATGGGCAACTTTTAAGACCTGTAGACTTCAACTCCCAACACTCAACTTCATGCTGGGTGGGGAATTCTGGTAGTCTACAAGTTTTAAAGTGACCAAGGTTGAAACCTCCCCCCACCCTGGTTTAGCATATTGTTTCAACTCTCCTTCCTAGCAGTAACAGTAGCCTTCTCAGTACTGTGGTCCCATCAGATGGAAAAGTATCTTAGAGACTTTCAACTCTGTTCATATCCACTCTGTTTCCAATTTAAACTGAGATGTGATTGGGGAAATGGAGAGAATTATAAAAGCAAGTTTAAGCAGATACTTTACCTGAAGTTTATTGCAAATTCAGTCTCCAACAATGAATATAAAGCAGGATACCTAAAGCTTGGAGAGAAAATATAGCAAGATTTTTTTGTATGCAGCAGAGATTTACATTGTTCAAATAGAAATAGCACTTAGACATATACCATTCCACAGTGCTTTACATCACTCTCTGAGAAGTTTACAGAGTTAGCATATTTCCCCCAACAATCTGGGTCCTCATTTTACCCACCTTGGAAGGATGGAAGGCTGAGCCAACCTTGAGCTAGTCAACTTTATAAGAAAGTTCTTAGCAAATTCAAATAGTCTTTTTGACACATTTAGCTTCTATTTCTCTTTTCCCCTACCAATAAAAGTAACTACCATGATGAATGGCTTGTTAGCAAACTCTTAGCACCTACTAGTGATTACTACATGCAGGTGCCTCTGAGTTAGCAGGACACACAGAGAAGCATGTTGGCTTGAAATTAGTTTCTACAATAAAGATCCTAGGATTTGTCTTGGGATAAAATGGCATTTGTGGTATTGTCCTTACCTTCAGTAGGTTTGTTCCTTTGTTCCTCATGAATGTATGTTGGCCACTTATTTGGGTATCTTGGATGAATTCTACATGATATATCTGTACAATATTCATTTAACAGAGTTGTTAATAAAGAACCTGCCTCTGCAAATATGGTATATCCAGGGGTGGGATTCAAGCAGATTGAGTTGCTCACAGAATCACAGATTCACTTAGAAATCTATCTATCTGCAATCAGCTACCTAAGTCTGCATGAAAAGCTTCAGTCCTAAGGAAGGTTCAGCTCTGCTTTTAGATTAGCTAGAAAGCAAGAAATCCAAGGATTTCCTGCTTTCTAGCTAATCTAAATCTGGCAGAGCAGAACACCTGATGGTCGGGGGCGAAAAAAGGAAAAGTGGCAACTTACCAAACCAGGCAAGTTGGATGACTCGCATGCCAGTTAAGGAGTGAGTGGGCGGGGAGGGGAGGGGAGGGGCCAGCCAGTGGAGTGATTTGCCAGTTCTCTGAACTGGGGACAATCATGTGTGCAGCGTTTGCAAGAAATCATCAGTTGTGGTGCCTGGACAGGTGACAAGCGCTGCGCTCAGGTGTGCAACGTTTGAAAATCCTCGTTTCCAGCTTTTTCAACCTCAGCTGTGTTGCGCAAAACAGATGAGGAGGGAAAAGCAGGGAATAAAGAACAGCCTAGAACCCGGGCAGATGGGTGGGCCAAACACCGAACCAGTTCGATGCCAGCTGCTCTTTGCAGCTACAGGTTCTATAGAACTGGGCCGAACTGGTTGCATCCCACTCCTGGGTATATCTGCTGTCCGGCAAAAACCTTTTGGACTGGGATTTTATCACTAGCGACAGATAAAAAGCTGCAGGAACTGTTGTGAGTAGGGTGGAAATTAAACCTGTATTTCAGAGTATGTTTCTGCCTGCTTTATTAACAGGAAGTGAGAGGTGTATGTTTGAAGAATTATAAAAGCAAGGTGACTGCACTGAGAATGGGTTACATATATTTAAAAATTAAGGATAATTCTTAAACTGAAGTTGATACTTAGTCTGCAATCGACATTCCTCAGAGAACTTTATAGTCAAAGTGTGACAAAGGCCCAACCAAATTTTGCTTCCAAACCCAGCTAAGGTCTGCCATTCTGAGCTCTTCCCTTATTAACTACACAAACACATCCATCTTGGGTTTTTTCTTCTTCTTCTTTACAATACTTCAAGTTGCTCTGTCTCTGCCTGTCCCAGAATTTTTATTGGCCCCAGTTTTTCCTCTAGCCCTAGGATTTCCCAGTGGTTTCCCACCCAAATACTACAGTTACTTTTTTCCAAGATTAGCCAAGGCTTGACCCTGCTCAAATAGTTCTGAGCCTTAGAATTATTTAAAAGGGAAAGAAAAAAAAATAAAACACCTTCCAGGAAAGGTCTACACCAGGGGTCTCCAATGGCAACTTTAAGACTTGTGGACTTCAACTCCCAGAATTCCTCAGCCAGCAAAGCTGACTGAGGAATTCTGAGAGTTGAAGTCCACAAGTCTTAAAGTTGCCAAGGTTGGAGACCCTTGCTCTACACAGTTTATGGCATTTAAATCATCTCGCATTCAACCCTAAGGATTTTTACATAGGATTTGGGAAGACTCTGATATTTTCTAAAAATCTGGGAAGCAACACCCAACCAGATTTAGAATAAGGAGTCTCAAGGTCCATCAGGCTTAACTCCATAGGTAGCACAGCCTTACACCGTGTTACTTTGTAACAGAAAAGGCACTTCGGGGACAGACAGGGCAGTCCATGGGCTTTGTTGCCAAGGGCTAAGAGAAATGGCATCTCTCAAATGCTGGGCCAGGAAACTCCAAGCATTGCGAAGCCAGAGAGGCAATTCTTTCCTATAGAGATAATAAGATTATTTCTCCAAACTAATTACCAGATGCAACTCATAGAATAACAGAATTGGAAGGTACCTAGGAAGTTTCAGAAAAAAAACTATCCTGCAATCTGCAACTCTTACACTGCAAAAACATATGGACTACACAACTCGATCAGGGCAAAGCAATGGACGCAATCTACATAGACTTCTGTAAAGCCTTTGATTCAGTGGTACATGATAAACTACTACTAAAACTAAAATCTTATGGTATCTCTGGACACCTGCATAACTGTATAGAAGCATTCCTGTCAAATAGACAACAAATGGTCAAAATTGGGAGCGTCCTATCAAATTCTGTATCTGTCAACAGTGATGTCCCCCAAGGCAGTGTTCTAGGACCAACTCTCTTCATACTCTAAATGATCTCTGTGATCATATTAAGAGCAACTGTGTTCTCTTTGCTGATGATGTAAAGTTTTTCAACAGCACAGACAATACTGCTATCCTTCAAAATGACCTCAACTATGTATCAGAATAGTCAAACAAATGGCAACTTCAAATCTCAACCAACAAATGCTCTGTCTTATATATTGGAAAAAAAAATGAGAAAATAAAATACAAGCTGAATAGTCAAGACCTTGTTGATGATCCAAATTCTATCAAGGACCTTGGAGTATTCATTTCTAATGATCTAAGTGCTAGAGCCCACTGTAACCACATAGCCAAAAAGGCGTTAAGAGTTGTAAACCTAATCCTGCATAGCTTTTTCTCCAGTAATATCACTCTAGTAGCTAGAGCATACAAAACATTTGCTAGACCAATACTTGAATACAGCTCATCAGTCTGGAACCCGCATTACATATCTGATATTAATACAATTGAGAAAGTCCAGAAATATTTCACAAGTAGAGTTCTCCACTCCTCTACTCGTAGCAGAATACTTTATGCCACCAGACTTGAAATTTTAGATCTAGACAACCTAGAACTACGCCGCCTTCGGTTCAATCTAAGTATAGTACATAAAATTATATATTGCAATGTCCTACCTGTCAGTGAATACTTCAGCTTCAACCATAACTACACAAGAGCAAACAATAGATACAAACTCAAGGTTAATCGCAACAAACTTGATTGCAGGAAATACGGCTTCAGCGACAGAGTGGTCAATGTCTGGAATATTCTACCTGACTGTGGTTTCTTCCCCAAACCCCAAAAACTTTAACCTTAGACTTTCTACTATTGACTTTCTACTCACCCCTTTCCTAAGAGGTCTGTAGGGGGCGTGCATAAGCACACCAACGTGCCACCGGCCCTGTCCTATTGGGTTTTTTTTCTTATATGTATCCATTTCATGCATTCATAACTATGTTTATACTTTTACCTGTTATCTTATAATCGCTTGACAAAATAAAATAAATAAATAAAACCTGAAAAGGAAACGGTGTATATACAAGCCCACTGTGACTTTGCCTGCGAATTGTGATTCCCCTCTTCAGTCGGACTGATCCACGAGACAGGAAGACAGAGGGGGGCACCTTTCCGCTTTCCCCGCCGGTCGCTCGTCCTAAACTTTTTCTTCGCTTCCCCCCTCAAAGATATCGGGCAAACCAAAAAATAAAATAAAATACACCGAAGGTGCAACCGAAAGGAAGAGCCTTACTAAGGAAAGCATCTTCTTCTCTCTTCCTGTTCTTCGATTCTCACACCCCGCTTTACTTAGTACGGTCCTATCCGGTGAAGAGGTTTCCCCACTTGGCCAGAGGAGCTTTTGGACTTGCGAGCCAAGAGGAGGTGGAAGCGGCTCAGCTCGGCTGCCAGCCGCTCGGAGCGGAGCCGGACAAGCCTGGCCATGAGGAGCTGGCGTCGCTCCTCGCGATTTCCCCGAACTCCTTCCAAGCTCTGATCCCGGGGGATGCGGCGCAGGGACGAAGATGAGAAAAAGCAGGGTGTACCGCATGGTCTTGGCCACTTGCTTGGGCTCTTTGCTCCTGGTCATCTTCTACTTCCAGAGCAGCCTGAACTCGGGTGAGTTAAACATTTACCCCGCAGTCCCGTCACCTTTTTTCGCCTCGGCGCCGTAAGCAAGGAATGTTCTTTCAGGATGGTGGTCGCTCTCTTTTTTTCAGCCCCTCAATTGAAACAACGAAGAGACTCGGGGCACTTCAAGCCTCTTCTCGCGTTTTACTTCTGGCGTAAGTTCTCCACCAGAGACCAACACCTAGGTTTAAGGAGACCCGCTTCGTGGCTTTCAGACCATGCCTCCTCCCCCCCCCCTACCCCGCCCCGGCGAAGCTGTCCCGGACCGGAATGGGACAACTGGCCACGGCCAACTTTCGCCACAGGACAAACTCGCCACAGCCAACTCGCTGCTTGGACAACTCGCCAGCAGGACAATATGTAACAATTAAATTTAGTTATTTAAAATAAACAAAAAAAATGTTTTGATTTTTTTTTGTCATTCACGTTTCATTTTGTCCCTCCTTTTGCATCCTTTCTTTAATGGTTCTATTCCATCATTCCTTTGATATTGGTGTAAACTCTTGTCCCACAGCAAGTTGGCTGTGGCGACTTGGCCATGGTGAGTTGGCTGTGGCACATTGTCACAGATGTGTCCCAGAGGGGTTTCTCTTACCTCCTTCTGGTTAATGGAGACAAGCAGGCTTCCCATTCGTAAGGCAGCAGAATGCAAACACTCCGTACTGTGGTTAATTAAGACTTTATTTGGGAGTTTGCTTTGAAAATATCATTGACAAATAGAAAAAAAATAACATAATATTGATACAGGCTACCGTCCCTAGCTTTTACAGGTAGTCCTTGACTTACAACAGTTCATTTAGTGCCCTTTCAAAGTTACAGCGGCACTGTAAAAAGTGACTTATGTTTTTCACACTTGGCGACCGTTGCAGCATTCCTATGGTCACATCATCAAAATTTGGATGCTTAGCAACTGGTTCATATTTATGACTGTGTCCCAAGGTCATGTGACCACCTTTTGTGACCTTCTGACCAGCAAAAGCAATGGGGAAGCCAGATTCACTTAACAACTGTGGCAAGAAAAGTCATAAAATGAGGCAAAAGTCACTTAATAAATGTCACATTTAGCACCATAAATTTTGAGCTCCTTTGTGGTTGTAAGTCGAGGACTACCTGTACTTAAATGGGTGCGATTTCTGAGAATAGCTAGGAAGGAGTGGGCTTCAGGGAAGAGGGAAAAAAGATATTGAGAGATGTCAATTGGTGAAATACTTTTCAGTCTGCTGGCTTCCGTGAAAAGATTTTAGTGGTTTTATTTTCATGCCGAGACATGAACCAGCAGGATTAATTGATTTTCAACAGGTAACTGAGTCAACATCTGGAGAAGAACTTCTGATACAAAATTGTCTTACGAAGTTTCCAGGTGTCCGGGGTACAAGAAGGACAACAATATAGATAATATATAGCATATTACCTTAAAAATCCCAATTAACTTCGTGACTTATTTTGAAGTGGTTTCAAGTTTAGGTTTCTTCATTGTATAGCCATAAAGGACATTGAAAACAATTTGCATAAAATACATTGCATGCTGATGAGCTTGAAAGATGTACAGATAAGTCAAGGCTTCAGTTTAACTGACTTCAGCTAAAGGGATAAGTGGTGAAATCAGCTGGCTTTCCCTTTAGATTCATATGCTAACTTTTCTGAATTGAAATCAATTCGTCTTAATATTGTGCAAGTCATTTGTGAGCAACATTGATAAGCAAGTACAAATTTACTATGATTGGTAAGTAAGTAGAGTCGTAGAAGTGACTCCAGGAGAACTCCTAAAATTGCAAATTTTAGCTAAGTTTACTCCACTGGTGGTTGCACATTTTGACACTGGAGTGTGATATATAGAATGTGCTTGCTGCAAACTGAGATGTGCTTAGTGTTTAAAAATCTTACTTTGGCATAAATAGCACCCAGAATATCTGCAATGGAGATAGAATTGGAATAGAAATCCAGCTATTCCTATATAGGCCTTAATTTCTTGGATTCTAGCAATTTTTAATACCTGTCCTGAGAGTATGGTACTGATCTAACTGAGGAGGTGGTCCCATTTGAAGAAAATCAGGAAAATTGAACTTAGGAACTCTAAGACAAAAAGTAAAAGTGGAAGCTTCCGAATGTGTGGAGATACCGTGTAATTACAGTCACTACTCAGCATTTCTTACCTCCCCATTTCCGGTGCATTTGGAGTGTAAGCTCTTAAACTTAGAGACGGAAAGCTAAAAACTTACTTTAAAATTCCTTTGTCCCCTTCTTTACTCCCTTTTTTCTGTCTACATTTGCTCATTTTTTCTTTTATTCCCCCACCATCCGGCGCTATGATGAACTATCTCTCCTTCTTCAATCTCTCTTTATAATGATTATAAATATGTATACTGGGGAAAGGAAAATTGATTGTTGTAATTGATTGTTAAATAATTGAATTAACTGATTTAATAGATTTATTAATAATAGTGATAGTTATACTTTGATTAGATATATAGGGAAAATAGTAAGAACATTAAGTATTATTTAATTAATAACTATAGGATTTTATATATTAATATTATAATTCATTGTGCGATCACAATTAACCCACTCGGGGACGAATATAATACTGTTTGTGTTTAGAAGTAATACTTTTTATGGGATACGAATAAAATAAAATCTTGGAGGCAAAGCAGTACAGATGGGAAGGAACTGAAATGCATATAAGTGTCGCACTCCATATATACCCTTCTTGATCATATATGCCATGCTGTCTTCAGCTGTTCTGGACTCATAGGTAATAATACCCATGGTTTGTTGAGGCAGTAGGAATACTCATAGGTAAAGATTCCCTGGAAAGAAAGCCCAGTGAGAAGCTCTCAAATAGTAAAGCAGTTCCAGTTCTCTTCCTCTGTTCCCTTGATTCCTTAGCTCTTCCCCAAAATTCATCGACATTCCATGGGTCACCTAAGTGAGACTGGCTGTGCACAAACTCAACTGAAAAAGTTTTCCAGATTCAAGAATGTGCAGTTACCTAATGGAGCTCAGAATATGCTGACAGAAGCTTCTTTCACAGATGCTTGGCTTTAACTGGATGGGGCTTGTGACACAAATAGAAGAAGTTGGAACTCACTCATATATTTATTTTCTGGGCTCTATCCCTCCCTTCCTACTTTATATAGCGAGAGAGACCCACTGCATAGAGAAATGCATTTTTCAATAGGACTTAATCATACTTAACTGTGTATTTGTTCCATTAATTTAACTGGAACTTAAGCACAGGTGTCACATTCCCTATACATGCCTATTTGGAAGTTCCATTCAATTTGATGGGGATTATTATTTATCGTGTTTAGTATAATAGGAAGCATGAATTTCCTCTGAAGACTAAAGCCCGTGTAACTAAAAGGAAGAGATTCAATGAATGAGAGAGCAACTCTTCTTTATATAGCAATTCAAAAGAAAGTCAGTGTAGGTTGTTTGCAGCTTAAAAATGCATGAAACTATATAGCTTTGGTATCAATGTTCGTGATTCCTATGGTATTTTTCACCATTATTTTACTGCATCTGAGACTTTGAGTTGACAATTTTATTTGCCTTTGGAAAGGTTGTGTATTTAAGGAATACTCATGACAAATCCTTCGGGTGAAGACATTAATGTATTTCAATGGATTTAACTGATAATTTTCTAAGGCAGAAATAACTTGGATTTCATATAATGGCTGGTTCAGGAGTTCCAAGTATTGGCAAGAGGTTATGAATTGGAAAAAATATTTCTGTACAGCTGTAACAAATTGATCTACATATCGGTTCAATTCATCATTTGGCTACTTATTCAAGAGGTGCCAAGCTTAGATAAGCCATCCTTCCCTCTGACCCCTGCCTTCCTTTTGGTTCTTGGAAGTATATAGTTTCTTCATTTTAGAAATGTCCATGTGACTCTTGTGAATCAAGAAAATGCCAGTATTTCTCAAGAATATTTTACCAGTTACCAGGATTAAACTGATGTGTTGACCTTCTTTAGCACTGTAAATTGGAAGTAACATGTTTAGTATAGTGTGTTAATGAGAAGAATATAATTATTTGGTTGGGTATTATACAATATGAGCAATGTGTTGTGGGATTGGTATATGTTTAAAATATATTATTGGTCATTCTTCAGAAGTTCTGCAATTTGGAGAGGATTATATTTTGGAATAATAAAATAATAGATTTGGAAGGAATTGTAAGGTTCATGTAGTGTAACTTCAGCTTGTTGTCTTTTTTAATGTATCCTTTGCTTTGACACTTCTGAGAACTGAATCCCTTTAAAAAATACCTGACTCAGTCTCAGATATAGAGCCTTGCTGTGTTAGTGCCATCTTGCTTGTTCAAGGTTGAGACTATCATTGATAAACATATGAAAAACTTCTGAGAGGTGTCTGGTTAGAAATAATCATTTTCTCAGGTAGGAATACAATCTTGTTTTATCCCAGTTTTATTTTATACCCCAGATTTCTAGGTTTGGTCTTGCCTAGTTTTTCTTACAAGTTCCTGTAAAGTCATCCCATGATGCTGGGAAGCTTATTTGATTTCTGGAATGTTCCTCATTGTTAGTGACAGAAAGACAAAACTTTATTTTGGTCATTGACCAATAAAAATACAATGAATAAAACAACAAAAAATTATCCCCTAACCACAGGGACTATTAGTAGAGATATGTGGGTGAATCTTACATATAATGTAGCAAAATTTTGCTACTTTTAGAGAATAGATATGTTATTTAACAGACAGTGCAGGTAAAGGCTGTCAGAGTGGCCCAAAAATGTAAATAAAAGAGGTATAATCAACTCATGGCGAATGTCCCTATAGAACTGGCAATACAGAAGAACATGGATTGTGGTTTCTATGGCATCCATATCACAAGAACAATACAGATAGTCCTCAACTTACAATTGTTCATTTAGTGACTTTTTGAAGTTAGAACAGCACTGAAAAAGGTGACATGATCATTTTTCACACTTATGGCCACTACAGCATCCCCGTGGTCATGT